AACTCTTTCATACAAAGCCAGGGTGGCAGATTGTATGTGGTGAGTATGACCGGCCATGTGCTATGTGGATTACACATGTTTCCAAATGGATTGAAACCGTCAGATGAAAGACCTAGGCGTACGGTACGAGGTTCACTCGAGAAGTCGGGGTAATTTTTATCAAAATCTTGCCAATGTTCCCCATCAACAGGATGAATCATCACACCATCTTCTGAACGTCTGGTACTATGCCAAATCATATTTTTGGCAGTGTGCCTCGAACAATATAAACGTCGTAGTCTAGGGGTCACAGGAAAGTACCGTAACACCTTATGAGGTACTTTCTTACCCTTGGTGTTTTATCGATCCATCGGCTCTCTTTACAAACGGGACAAACTTGCAATGAATCATGTTCTTTCCAAAAGAGACAACAATCGTTTTTACACACATGTATCGACTCATACCCCAGGCCAATAGACTTTAGTTTCTTCTTGGCTAGATAATGTGAAAGGGGAACCTTGTTGCCTTTGGGAAATGCTAATTGCAAGAGCTCAAGGAGTTGATCAAATGAACTATCAGTCCATTTGTTGTTCACCTTGATATGCATTAACTTTGCTAGAAACTCAAGGGAAGAAAAGATGCAACCAGTATACAATTGAGTTTCCATTTCCTCCAACAACTGTGCAAAATCATCATCCATACCGCTACCCCTTGTATTCGAGGTTCCTTCATCGAGGTTGGTATCATTTTCTCTCGACTCCCACATCACATCGTCGATTAAATCGGCCATTTCGTTACTTGGCAAGACGACGGGAGGAATAAAAGATTCACCATGATAGATCCAAATTTTGTACGCCTTACTGAAACCATTTATAAATATATGGCGTTCAACTACAGTCGGGTACTTGAAGTAACGGTTATCACATTTTTCACACGCACATCTGATTTTACCATTACTATCAACGTGCAACTTCGACTTCTCAATAAAAGCTTTGAGTCCTGCTTGGAACTCGGGATGGTTTCGATATGGATTAGTAGTCCAGCTTTTATCAATAGACATGATGTTGCTGAAACATAATTTTAGGTTTAGAATTTAGTATACAGAATTAGCATTGTTTTTTTTTCAATCCACATTTTTTTACATCTAAAATAATACAAAAATTAAGTAATAAAGAAATGAAAAAATAAATTAAAAATTTTATTTATGCATTTTTTAATTAATTTTAATTAAAATTACTTGTAAGTTAGCTTGGGTAAAAACTAGAAGCTTTCTAGTTTTTGTATATAAGTTTTTAAACAATTTTATAGTTTTTTTTTGTGTTTTTTTTTCAATTTATAAAATAATGTATTTTTTTTCAATTATAGCATCCTACTTATAAGAAAACCACATACTTTTACATACGTATTATGTTGTTGTGTTGTATTTTTTACCGTCGAGATTAAATGTATATAAGTTTTTAAAGATTTTTATAATTTTTTTTGTGTTTTTTTTCCAATTATAAGTTAACTATATAACTTATTGGTTAATTAATTTGGAGTTAGCTTGGGTAAAAACTAGAAGCTTTCTAGTTTTTGTATATAAGTTTTTAAACAATTTTATAGTTTTTTTTGTGTTTTTTTTTTCAATTTATAAAAATAATGTATTTTTTTTTTCAATTATAGCATCCTACTTATAAGAAAACCACATACTTTTACATACGTATTATGTTGTTGTGTTGTATTTTTTACCGTCGAGATTAAAATGTATATAAGTTTTTAAAGATTTTTATAATTTTTTTTGTGTTTTTTTTTTTCCAATTATAAGTTAACTATATAACTTATTGGTTAATTAATTTGGAGTTAGCTTGGGTAAAAACTAGAAGCTTTCTAGTTTTTGTATATAAGTTTTTAAACAATTTTATAGTTTTTTTTTTGTGTTTTTTTTTTCAATTTATAAAAATAATGTATTTTTTTTTCAATTATAGCATCCTACTTATAAGAAAACCACATACTTTTACATACGTATTATGTTGTTGTGTTGTTTTTTTTTACCGTCGAGATTAAAATGTATATAAGTTTTTAAAGAATTTTATAATTTTTTTTGTGTTTTTTTTCCAATTATAAGTTAACTATATAACTTATTGGTTAATTAATTTGGAGTTAGCTTGGGTAAAAACTAGAACTTTCTAGTTTTGTATATAAGTTTTTAAACAATTTTATAGTTTTTTTTGTGTTTTTTTTTTCAATTTATAAAAATAATGTATTTTTTATTTATTTCAATTATAGCATCCTACTTATACCAAAACCACATAGTTTTACATAATACATAAGAAGGTGAAATTCACATACTTTTACATACATATACCACATATACATCAAATACAAATACACACAAAATAACATCCTATTTAAACCAAATACACATAATTTCACATATATACATAATAACATTCTATTTATACCAAATACAAAAGTTTCACAATCATATATCACATTTACAACAAACATACATACATTCACATACACACAATAACATTCCACTTATAACAAATACATATAACTTCTACTAATATACCACATATACATCAAACACACATACATTGGAATATATATACCAAATTCACATATATTCAAACAAATACAAAATATACAATCCAATTTTCACATATGACAATTATCACATAATTTCACATATAAATACAACTTGAAGCTATACAACTAATTGCAATTAAATAACCACAAACAAAAAATTGAATAACTTGCTTCTAATCCAAAACAATACCACCAAAAACAAAAATATGAACAATTTATTATCATTCAATCACTACATAAAGCTACAAATCAAAATTCATACAAAATAAAAAAAAATCATAAAAAAAAAAAAAACTTACCTTTCTTCAACAAATGGAGGCACCTACAAATTGATCACAAAGCTTTAACCACTTGCTTGGAACAATGCTTCTAATCCAAAACAACACCACCAAAAATAAAGAACATGAGCAATTTATTATCATTCATACAACACAAAAATGAAATCATCAAAATAAAACTTACCTTTCTTCAAGAAATGGAGGTAGAAATTGATCCCAAAGCTTTAACCACACCTAGGGACACTTGCTTGGAACAATGAGGGGAGAAATTTGCTTGAAAGAAGCAGATTGAAGAAGAAATCGGAAAAATGGTGAAGGAACTCAAAGCAAACAGAAAGGGAAATGAAGAAGGAACTGTAATATGCGTGCGTTTTTTTTTTATCTGGGATCATCAATAGCGGCGACACCTTTAGCGGCGACGCGAGGTCAATACCGGCAACAATTGTTAATAGCAGCGACAAACTGGAGGGAAGGGTACCGCGTCATTTTTAGCACACAATTAGCGGCGACTTTTTTAGAGTTTTAGCGGCGACATGCGTGTCGCCGGTATTAGGTTAGACCGGATAAGGCACCCCACCCGTTGGATTGGATATCTCATCGAACGGTTGAGATGCAATGTAGGGGGAAAGTGCGGATTCGGGTGACAACCCTTTAGCGGCGACACTTTTAGCGGCGACTATTGGCTTTACCGGCGACTATAGCTAGAGTCGCCGGTAAAGCCAATAGTCGCCGCTAAAAGTGTCGCCGCTAAAGGATATATTTCTTGTAGTGTAAGTTTTCATTTTTTTTTTCGATTTTGACACTAAGTTTAATTTTTTCTTTCAACTTTGACACTATTTTTTTTGTTCCAAATCGAACATCATTTTTTCCAATTTTGTTCAATGTTGACAATTTTCTATTTGAAACCGTATAAATATTTTTTTAATACATTTCAACCGTATAAATATGTTTTTTTTTTCATTTAAAAACCATAGTTTTGTATAAATACATTTTTTTTACACTCAAACCATATTTTTATGTATAAATATGTACTAGTTATATAAAAATTATATTTTATATTAAATATGCAACTTTAAAATGTGTTTGGAGGTTTGGAGGCGTGTAGTCGATAAAAAATCGGATATCAAGTTTGCAACCCATCAAATTTTTGCATCTTATCAGAAGCTTATGGTTAGTTTGATTCTCATGATATAACTAATGCTTTGAATGTAAGAAAAAAAAAACCTTGTATTTAAATAAAAATGTGGTTTTTAAATGAAAAAAATATATTTATAAGGTTTAAAATGTAATAAAAAAAATATATTCATACGGTTTCAAATGAAAAATAGATAAAATTGAACAAAATTTGATAAATGATGTTCGATTGGAACAAATGAAACATAGTGTCAAAATTGAAATAAAAAATTAAACTTAGTGTCAAAATAAAAAATAAAAAAAAAGTGAAAACTTAGTGTTTTTTGTGGAAAAAAAAAAATCAATTTTGACACATCATCATATCATATCAGCATGTCACGTCATCAAAATTATCACGTCATCATGTCACATCAGCATGTAACCTGGTTAACCGGTCAAGTTGTCAGAATTGTAACAAATTGGAAAACACAGTGTCAAAATTGACACAAAAAAAACACGGTATCAAAATCAAATTTCTGTATAAAAAGAGTGTTTTTTGTACCATTTACCCCAAATTTATAACACATTTTGTGTTTTCCTTTCTGGCTGTATATATATTTTGTATTTTATCATGATATAACATCAACATTTTGTAATTTGTGTTTATCCGTCAAGCATCAAAAGTGATTGGATACGATGAATTTGGGAATTTAAAAGAGTAGAAAGTACGTAGCACTTGTCATAGTATTCATAATCAATCCTAAAAGACATCTAAACAAATTCAAAATAGACAATAACGGCATTGTGCTTTAACAACCCTTATATTTTAACAATTAAACTGACATCACTAAAGACTTAATTTGCCTTCACAGGTAATTTTTTAGGGCGTTCGATAATGAACTTGGCTGATGTTGATGCACGTGGAAATGGCTGTAGTACCAAATCTTGTAACATCTTAACTTCTATATCAACAGAAATAGAATTATCAAGCTCTATTCGTGCTTTCTTAAGCAGAGGCGACTTAGCCATGATGAGCTTCACAAACTCCATTTCAGGAGCATAGTTATGGAAACTTGTAATCTCCAGTTCCCTAAGATGATCCAAGTTGAGCCCCGGATAGTCTTGAGAATCAAGCAAACTCATATTGAAAGTTTGTCTAACATAACCAAGCATCTAATCAGAAAACATGTCAATTGTCAATAAAATTATGAGTATCGATTACCAGATGTGATTACATATAGTTTCCATTTACCTTAAATTTAATCTTCTCCAAATTTGGGGAGCTGTTGATCACACAGAGAGTGGATGAAATCTCATCTAGTTTATGAAAACATACTTGAAGAACAAGTATCCTCAAGTAGACTAGTGGAGTGGGGAGCTTTTGTGACATACCACCTGCATAGAAGTCCTTTAACCAGATCCCATAACATTAATTACTGGTTAAAACAAATATTCTTTGCATGAGATGAAACAACCAAGTTAAGTATCAATGTACTACCTTGTTATAAAACCTAGAGATGTTCACAACTTGAACTGAAGGTAAACACTTAAACAAGTCAACAAATGTACACTTGTTGTCTCCTATAAAGTCTGTAACATAACGTCCAATCTGCATAAATACCTTTTTGTAAGAAGGTTTTTAATTTACGAAGGTACATAAAACGTTATATTGACTTTATTTACCCATGTAAATTCCTCAAGTAGTGGACAACTGATAAGGAATCGCTGAAGCATAGTGGCATTGATGTCAACCTCGTAAAATATCAGGCTCTTCAACATACTAAATCCATTAAACATTGATGGGATCTCAATTACACAATATTTGAGAGATAGGTGTTCTAATCCATGTAATGAAAAGAATGAACACGGTAACTTGTAATATTCATCGTATCGATAAACTTCAAAAATGAATTTCTTGATATTCTTGCTCCGTGAAAGATGAAGTATTATCTGGTCAATCTCATTAACAATTTCTTCATCGGAGATATGAATATAGAGTTCCGATATCGGACCCTTGTGTAGCAACAAAACATGGAATATGGTAATGACAAGCTTATATTTTTTGACTACTCCCATATCAGATGATACATTAATGAGCCTGTCATCAAATACAAGTTTTTGCATGCCTGTCCAGCAGTACCTCCATTTTTTTGACAAAATGCTTGTCCTCAATGCATCTCTGATTGGTATAAAAGCAAGAATTTTTTCAATTATATCATCAGGGAGACTGCTGATTCTATCCGAACTTTGGCGTTGATGATCTTTCATCTCTTAACAAGGTTGGATACTTCTTCACAAGGCTGTAAATTAAGTAGAATGAAATATGAATATTTGCTTAAAACGTATATGAACTGGTTACTTCAACCAAGATACAACTAATAGAACGAGAAGACAAATATACAAATGAAAAACAAACATGCACATACTATATCTTAAATATATGTTGTGTAACTACTAGCTAGAGTTCTAAATTCCTTATTATACCTACCCATATGGTCACCACAGTTTCGATATCTAATTCCCGAAATTACCTACCTATCCTCAGAAGCATTATATAATTGCTATAGCATGTGATAGGGCTAAGCTTTTGCCTTTTCTTTTTAAAACCACCTATTACCAATTTTAACATACAACATAACGTCAACCAATCTCTATCTTTTCGAACCCTAGGTACAGACTTTCATTTCCTACGGTAACCATAAGGAAAACAACAGGTTTTACCTTCAATTTCGATCCACAGAATAAGGCACTACCTCCAGCCACCGCTACTATGGCCTCTCTCTTCTCGATATATCTTTTTCTATCTCCAGCCTCGATCTTCTCTATACTTTGTGTTTGTGTTTGGCGGCTAGACACCCCAAAAACACCCAAATGCTCTCTTTCTTTCCGATCGACTACACTCCTCCCTCTGGTTTTCTCTGAAACTAGTAATAGGTGTCCGATCTCCGTTTAGGTTTTCTTTCATAAAATTTATTTTTATTTAGAAAAACGAAAAAGAAATAAGGAGATCTAAGTGGACGTCCAGGCGTATAATTATTATACTAAAAGTCTAAAACCCTATAAAAGTCGGATATATATAGAATTACGGAAAAGTTTATAAAAACTTTTAGATATTAGCAAAACTCTATAAAAGTCTATATAAATTTCATAGTCAATTTAGAATTTATATTTTTATATTCAATTATATTTTAAAAACCAACAACTATACTAATTTTCACATTTTTATAACAAATCAACAGATTATTCAACTTTTAAAAATTTATATTTTTTGTCTACATTTTAAAGTTTCTTATAAATTCCATCCAAAATTTATATTTTTGGTTCAAATTTTATAATTTTGTTGAGAGTTCATTTTGAATTTATTTGTTTACATCTTTAAAAAAACAAAAAAATTAGAATATGTTTTTTTTTTTTGCAAAAAAATATATTTTCAAAATCATGTTTATAAAAAAAAAAAAAAAAAAAAAAAAAAAAATAAAAAATAAAAAAAATAATTTCACATAAAAAAACCTTTTTTTCTATATAAAAACTTTGTTAAAAAAATAATTTTGAATGCAAAATAACTACATAAAAAAATTTAAAAACAATTTTATATCCCAAATACCTATTTAAAATAACATTTTTTGTTTTAAATACCTATTAATAAAAATATAGTTATGTGAAAAATACATGAAATATATAAACTAATGTAAAAATACATTATTATACAAAAAAATATATACAAATCCATTTTTATATAAATAATTACATTAATATATACAAATTCACTTTTATAATATATATATATATATATATATATATATATATATATATATATATATATATATATATATATATATATATAAACATGATTTTATAAAAAAAAAAATTATTCAAACATCGATTTTATAATAAATGCATTTATATACAAACACATTTTTAATATATATATATATATATATATATATATATATATATATATATATATATATATATATATATATATATATATATATATATATAATGTGTTTGTATGATTATTTTTTGTCCATTAGATTTAAAACATGAATGGTTAAGATATGAATGGCATGATGATAATTAATTGTAATAAAATTAATTATATTCTATTTTAGAACAACCATTAAGAATAGATTATGGAAAGTTACGATATTAAGGGATAAAACTTAAATTAGATTTACAAAAATAAAATTAGTTGTTATGTTTAAATTATCTAACTTACTCATTTAATATTATTACTAAACATTTTCAATTTCTTGATATTTATTCATTCAAAAAATTATTTTATTCTTTATACATTCTTTAAGAATTAGGTACAAGAAGTTATACATTTTAGAAAGTCTTTAAGAATATGTAAATCCTTTAAATTATTTTATTAATTATCATCACCCATTATATTTTATTCTTTGAGAATATGGTATATGCAACATATAACATAAATCATTCTTTACGAATATGATATATACAACATATAACATAAAACATTCTTAGAAAATAATGAGCTATTATTGAAGAACACATAAAAAGAATATACATTCTTAAAGAAAATGCATTGATAAAACTGAATTGCATTCATTCTCAAATTCTAATACATGAACATTTTGTAAGAATTGAAAATAAATGACATTCTTGAAGACATGCTTGAAAAGAATATGAGATACTCTTGAAGAGTAAGTTCTGGAAGACTCTGAATTATGAAAGAATATACATTCTGACAGAATATATGCAAAAGCCTTGTTTCTGATATGCTTTATAAAAGATTAATCATCCTCGACCAACCAACACTACCTGCAACATTCTCGTACAATCACTCATCTCTTTTTTTTAGCCTTTCATTCTTAAAAAATTCCTTTATCAAACATTTGTTTCATTCTTTCGTTCTTAAATATTACAAAAATCTCACTTCATCATCGACAACGAACACAACCTGCAACTAAGGTATAAAGATCGAATTAGCAGCATTACTCCTAGGGTCAGTCTTAGTGTAATCAATGAGTATACAACAAAAAACATGACTGGAGATTTAGCAACAGTTATATGATTTTATGTCTACTGGTTAGAAGTTATGTAAAAACAAAAAACAAAAAACAAAAAAAAAAAAAAAAAAAAAAAAAAAAAAAAAAAAACATATGTTGGAGTTCGTAATATATAAGTTGGTTATAATCTATCACCAATAACCAATCACTACCTGAGAACTTATATAAAAGATTAGACAATGAAGAGATAAAAAATCATACAAAGAATAGTGGTTTTGATGGTGATCACTTCCACTAGAGACCATTTTTTGTTTCAAGATTTCACTCAAACATTTTATCAAGCACATAGCATGCATTCATAACTACCATATACGAACATGTATAAACTTATAAATTATAAGCTAGGAGACTACATTTGGTTTATGTAGGAATAATTTTGTGAAGAAAGTCAAAGTAAAAATTATGATATTAATCATAATTGGGAGGTGAGAAGAGATGTGATGCATGCGACTTACAGAAGGTTGAACATGGTGATTCTCGGTGACAAGAAGGCAATGACGATAATCTTAAAGTGTTTGTGGTGTATGACTTTTGTTACGTTAAACAGATTGTATCATTTCCATAATTATTGGTTTAATTTCCTTTATTATGGATTTTCTAAATTTAGATAATAAATTAATTAATAACAAATTACTAAATTATCTTTATGGAATGATTGGTCTAAAATTAGTCATACATTCACACGATATATAGCATTTATACATGAACCATCTATCTCTCTTTCTCTCTCTCTCTCTCTCTCTCTCTGTATATATATATATATATATATATATATATATATATATATATATATATATATATATCCAACTTCTTTTCATAATCAAAAGATTTGTGAAACCTTACAAACTTATAATCAACTCATCATTTTTTAAAATGAAAAACACAAATCTTCTCAAAATGGTGCGTTTAAGTCATATCTAGACTAGAAAAAATTGATATTTTTTTTTGTTTTTTTTTAAATGTGGATTTATACACAATCAACAGTCATATGGAATGGTGATAAGCACGATTAGCAGTCCATATGATTCTTGACTGTGCTCATAAGCAACCACTATAATTGTTGATTATGCATACATTCAAATTTCCAAAATGAATAAAAAAATTGACAAATCTCTTTTTGGTCTTAGATTTGGTTTAGACCCACAATTTAAAGAAAACTGATGATTTTGGTTTTGAAAAATGATGAGCTTATTATGAGTTCACAAGATTGCAAAATTTTTTAGTTTTCACAATTACCCCCCCCCCCCCCCACACACACACACACACACACACACATATATATATATATATATATATATATATATATACATATATATTTTTCACATAAGTATGTTTTTATTAATAGGTATTTAAATTAACTTTTTTATAAATATATATTTTGCATACAAAAAGGTTTTTATATATGTATTTTGTATACGAAAATGTTATAAAAAGTTTTTATACAGAAAAAAGTAGGGTTTTTATGTAAAAATATGATTTTGAAAATATGTTTTTTTTAAATAAATATGGGATTTTATGTGAAAATATGTTTTTTTGTAAATATATATATATATTTAAAAAAAGTTGAAAAAAAAGATGTAAAAGCTAAATTTATAGTGAATTTGTAACAAAAGTTTTAAAATATGTGCCAATAGTATATATTTTGGACCAAAGTTGTAAGAAATTTTAAATTTAGGCCAAAAGTGTCAACTTTGAAAGTTGGATGATATATTCACCGGGTAAATTGGTCAAAATGAATATTATAACATCTTGATGATAAGGTATTTCTAATTTTAGCCCCAAGTATGAAGATTATTTGCACTTTATCCCTTGTATATGAGAGGAGTTGCAAAATAGCCCACAATGGCATTCTTGTAAATATTGAGAGGAGCTCACATAGCTAGGCGTACGTTTTAGAACCTCAACCCCTAGTTTTTAGGGTTTGGACCATATTTAAACATCATTTAATCCCAAGTCTTGTCCGTTCCATCAACCTCCAGCCTCATTTCGACCCTTTTTGCAAATCCTAATTCATTTAAGAGCATTTGTGAGCCTTTAAGTGTATTTTGGTGACCTTGAAGGAGGAAGGAAGAAGAGAATATCATCTTGGAGAAGTAAGCCACTTTGGATCTAGAATTATATCATCATTTGGCATCATTTGGAGGTAAAAAGCTCTGGACTTGATTAAGTGTTGATTAGATCTTATTTATTCATGAAATGATGCTCTTTTAGTCCCATAAGCTTAGTATTGTGAGT